GAATGGAGCTTGGCTAAGCTAACGTTATATATGCTCCGACCGTCCACACTCACAACAACGGCCTATACAGACATAAATAAACCAGCGACTGTATTCTCCATGACACAGACAGTCTGTGGTTTGTACTTGTTTAACTTTTGTCTAGTTTCTGAACAGATCGTATCTGTCCCCGGCTGTTTGAAGAGCAAGCATGGGAAACAAAAGATAGCATTTACCTGTTTGCATCCAGCTAGCCATGCCTTTCTGGTGTACCAGCTACGTGAGAAGCCTGGTTGATACGTTTTGTCTTTTTCACGAGCTTGCTGTGATATATACAAATCGGGTTGGTCCGGTCCAAGGTCTTTAAGCAACAGTTTATCTCCCAAACTTCTCCTTTCGAAAGGATTGGAGAGTAGCTCTTGCACGGAATTGGGTGCGGACCGAGGTCCGGCGACTCCACCTGCACACCATTCTCATCCAAATACTGCGTCACCTTGGTCACTCACAAATCTAAAAAACAACTCACGTCAACGCACGTAAGCAACGTGGGCGCCAACGTGGGAGCCAACGTGAGCGCCCTCGTGACCAAAATATTTGACGGCGCTGATTGGCTGAAATTATGTTTCGGCGGCACCGTTTACTATTGAGACTTTTGCAACGTGCTGGTTGCTGCTGTTTGGCTCGGGGGCTCCGCCCGGTAATGATAAACTAATGCCACGGGCAAGGCCAGGCAGGAAACATGTGACTTATCAGTAACTTTAGACATCGTAACACAATTTTAAACGAGATTTTATTGTAAATTATACATTTTACTGATACCAATTGTATGATATTTACCTTGTTCATTAAAAATAAAAATATAAAATATATATTTCTTAAATAATTTATTTTTAATTTAATTTAATATATTTTTTTATATATATATATTTGTATGTGGGAAGAGGTGGGGCGGCGCCACTAGCGCCCCTATGGGCCGTCCGCCACTAAAAGATGGTATAAAGAAGTCATATGTAATATTATAAAATCACATGCATCATGCAGCCGGTGTAGTCCTTTGACCCAACATTGATTTTTGAGTGATTAGGTCACATGACCTGGAAGGTATTGAAGAAATAAGCACATTTTTCCATCAAAAATATTAATATAAAATATTTAGAGTGTTAAAATACAATAAAAAGAGGTGTGTCCTATGCGGCCAGTGTAGTTCTTTGACCCAACATTGATTTTGAGTAAATCAGTCACATGACCTGGAAGGTATTGAAGAAATAGGCTCATTTTTCCATCAAAATATTAATATAAAATATTTAAAGTATTAAAATGCAATAAAAAGAGGTGTGTCCTATGCAGCCAGTGTAGTTCTTTGACCCAACATTGATTTTGAGTAAATCGGTCACATGACCTGGAAGGTATTGAAGAAATAAGCTCATTTTCCCATCAAAATATTAATATAAAATATTTAAAGTATTAAAATGCAATAAAAAGAGGTGTGTCCTAAGCAGCCAGTGTAGTTCTTTGACCCAACATTGATTTTGAGTAAATCGGTCACATGACCTGGAAGGTATTGAAGAAATAGGCTCATTTTTCCATCAAAATATTAATATAAAATATTTAGAGTATTAAAATGCAATAAAAAGAGGTGTGTCCTAAGCAGCCAGTGTAGTTCTTTGACCCAACATTGATTTTGAGTAAATCGGTCACATGACCTGGAAGCTATTGAAGAAATAAGCTAATTTTCCCATCAAAATAATAATATAAAATATTTAAAGTATTAAAATGCAATAAAAAGAGGTGTGTCCTATGCAGCCAGTGTAGTTATTTGACCCAACATTGATTTTGAGTAAATCGGTCACATGACCTGGAAGGTATTGAAGAAATAAGCTCATTTTTCCATCAAAATATTAATATAAAATATTTAAAGTATTACAATGCAATAAAAAGAGGTGTGTCCTAAGCAGCCAGTGTAGTTCTTTGACCCAACATTGATTTTGAGTAAATCGGTCACATGACCTGGAAGGTATTGAAGAAATAAGCACATTTTTCCATCAAAATATTAATATAAAATATTTAAAGTATTAAAATGCAATAAAAAGAGGTGTGTCCTATGCAGCCAGTGTAGTTATTTGACCCAACATTGATTTTGAGTAAATCGGTCACATGACCTGGAAGCTATTGAAGAAATAAGCTAATTTTTCCATCAAAATAATAATATAAAATATTTAAAGTATTAAAATGCAATAAAAAGAGGTGTGTCCTATGCAGCCAGTGTAGTTATTTGACCCAACATTGATTTGGAGTAAATCGGTCACATGACCTGGAAGGTAATGAAGAAATAGGCTCATTTTTCCATCAAAATATTAATATAAAAATATTTAGAGTGTTAAAATACAATAAAAAGAGGTGTGTCCTATGCAGCCAGTGTAGTTATTTGACCCAACATTGATTTTGAGTGAATCGGTCACATGACCTGTAAGGTATTGAAGAAAGAAGCAAATTTGTCCATCAAATTATTAATATAAAATATTTAAAGTATTAAAATGCAATAAAGAGTGGTGTGTTCAACAATTGCATGCTCTAGCGTGGATTTGCTTCACATTCACTCGATCGGGAAGCTGTCGATTTATTAAAAAGACAAATGTTCTTGTGTAATTGAAAAGTCATTTGTTGATGGTCCCTAAGTGAAAGCCTCGTTTCGCGGAGAAGATCTCCCCGTCGTAATACAGACAGCAGCAGGGGAAACTGACGCTGCTGGCGGGTCCGCGAATGTCCGTCGAATATCCAACCTAAAACTAAATTCACCGCGGTGACCAACGTTGGAATTGAAATAAAAAAGGAAAGTGAAACTTATGCTCGTCACCCTCTCCCTCCGGTCCACATATGATTGTATGAACTATTAAAGATCTTAAAATAAATACAAATGTATTTATTATAAACGTTAGTCCTTAACATCTATCACTGTGCTGTGCATATCACCATTCAAACATATTTTAATAGTTGAACAACCCCACACAGCTCAGTGAAATGTTGACTTTATTTGATCATTTCAGTAAAAACTAACGTTCATATTTCTCTTTTTGATTATAATACTGATGAACGTTCAAAACAAAGCACTTTGGCAACTTACCACATACGTTTTAAAATGCTTAATAAGCACCGTAACTTTCATGATATCATTTCTCCCATTATCGTTTGTGTCCGTGAACGGCCGACTGTTGAGTGACGGCAAATGCTGCGGCTGCAATGCATTGTGGGGCAGCATTTTCTCCTCTCGGCTAGGGAGGTCCAGTGGTTCCTAAGCTAAAGGAGGTTATAAAGGAAGTTTGAAACCTCCTTTCCTTTCATTTCGAGAATTGGAACGGCACTTATCATGGCTGTCAGTGACGTACTTCCGGGTCATTTCACTTGGTTAGGAAGGTTCCTAAGCTAAATGGACTATTGGACTGGGCCCCTGCTGTCAGACGATCTACTGTGCGGCATCAGAAACGGACGTCACTTCATGTGACGCTCCGGAGGAAAGGACGTCCCATTGCTCTTAAAACTCATGTCCCTGCTTCTCGTGGTTTCCTTGGCCCTGTCTCAGGTCGACTATTTTCATTTCCTCGCTCCTCGGTCCTCGGTCTCACCGGAAGTTGATTTGTCTGCGCCATCTTGAGTACCGTCCCATGGCTATTATTTCTGCCGGAGGAGCGATAATGGAGGAGCTATAATCGAGGAACCACCAGACCATCCTCCGATGAAATCCTCAGACACGCGCCCCGCCCCCTTACTTTGTATCGCTCACTGATTGGACGATGCAGTGCATGCACTGATCTGATGCTTCTTGACATGAGAGCAGTTTCCCAGCGGAGTAAAGAAAATACATGAAACTCATGAGAGTCACTCCTCAGTTTACTGTGTTTTGTTTCAATTCATGTATCATTTAGTTACAAATATGTGATATATCTGAACAACAAAGTGGTCAAAAATCATTTTATTCATTTATTTGAAACATTTTCATGATCGCTTTTTTCATTCATTTATTGTCATTTCCATTCAGTCAGTCATTAAGTGCTATTAAAATGTTAATGTGCTACATATCCACACAAACAAACAAAGTGTGCAATCCAATGAATGTTAATCTAACTGGGTTTTGATAGATAATATATCTCTTTTTCTTCTCTCAATTATTTTATTTCTATTGTGCACTCTAATCAATATTAATCAAACTATTGTTCGTTTATACATTTTAAGAATGGCGTTTATCTTTTTTGAGAATGAGTTCTTATTTGATTTTATTTATTGGGGTCTACAACAGATGATACAAATGTTTGTGTCAGTACATTTGTGGCGTCAGACGATCAGCTGTGCGGCGTCATCACAAACGGACGTCGCTTCACGTGACGCTCCGGAGGAAAGGACGTCCCATTGCTCTTAAAACTAATTTCCCTGCTTCTCGTGGTTTCCTTGCGTCCCTCCATGCTTCCCTGGTGGGAGGGACTAAACGCAGGGAAACAACGCAAGTGAGGGAAGCAAGGATTTCATTTAACCGACCTGAGACGGGGCTCTACCATGGATGTGGGCCCAAGCCCCCAGGAAGTGCGCCGGAGTCTGATGAGAATATCCGTTTTGGAGATTATATTAATTATGGGAAATATAATCAGCACTTAAACAAGACTTGAGTTTCACCTGAAGTAAATTCACAATCTACCCTGCAGTGTACAACGTGATTAAAACTAGCTGCCCCTTTGCCAGCTTAGATTACACTTGAATGCATCAATAATTATAATCGAAACATATGATATATGATTCGGAAATGGACAATTTGCATAATAAAGTACTTTTACTTTTGGTATTTTAATATTTTGATGCCAATATTTTTACTTGAGTAACATTTTGAATGCAGAACTTTTACTCTGGTACTTCTGGTCATAAACCTATCCTACATAGTAATAATAATATATTTTATTTCTATAGCGCTTTTCTTGAACCCAAAGACGCTTAGTACATGTTCATTGGATTTGAAAAGAACAAAGAAGTAGACGGGATACATGAACATTCTTTATATCAAACATGTGTGGTGAAATCAAAATGAAAAACAAACTAATCCATCAAGATACAGGTATTTTTTACTTTCTACATTGTTGTTGTATTAGCAGATTTATTCAGTACTAACACTCATCTTCACCAATGTACACCACCACTGAAAAAATAATTATACAAAATCTTGAAAATGTCACTAATCAAATATTTTTGAAAAATAGAGAAAACATACAAATAGAAACAAGAAATATGGACATATGAACAAAATGCCCAAATAAAGGAAAACAAGACTAGAATGTTTAAGAATAAAGCACAATAATCTTCTTTCCGCCAAGTAAAGTTAAGCGTCAGGATATCCAAGTTCACATTTTTACACATTTGGAAATTACCAAAAGTGGGCCACTGGCAGAAAAATAAAGAACAATTGTTCATGCTTCAACATATAATATGTAATAGCCCTATGCATTTAAACACTTTAATCATACATCAATATTTGTGGACACTTTGAGTCTTTGTATTTACATTGAGATATTTAAAGTATACATTACAGCAACACATTACTGCAAGATCATTCTACACCAACAATTAATACATTTGCATTACAATAAGGCAGCTAATGGCATTTGTAATGAAAAACACACATACAATTTATGTTAACCCTGATAGATACCTGCTGCACTTTCATTGACCACCATAATGGTATAAGTCAACAGGCACATTATCTTCCTCTTCTTTGATTAATGTGCTCTCATTGCCATGACCTATTATAACCATGGAGTATTCCTGGGATTCTTCTGTTTCCACTGGGACTGAATACTCAACATTTTCAAACTCCCATTCAGTATTTAAGTTACAAGCTGTGTTCGGATGTGTAACGGACCCTTGTGGTGCACCCAGGATGTAATACTGGACATTCTCATTTTCTGGTTCCGTTTGGTGTCTTTCAGAATCTGGCAATGCAGTCATTAACGTATGTCCAAGAACTCCTGTAGGATCACCTGGGACAAAATGCGCAACGTCCTCAGGGTTTGACTCCGTTTTGACATCATCATGAAGAGGACAATATTTTTCCTCTGAGTCCGGTTCTGGTTTTATATTTCCATAACATGGATGCCAATCCTCCTCTTTGATTTGCAAGTTTCCTTGGAGAGGACTGCCACAACCATCACCCACTTGGTTCCCATTGTTTTGGACAATCTTCCTAGGATCGCTTTGTACCTTTGTGCCATCACGAAGGATCCAATCTTTTGTTTTGCAGCCTTCGAGAAAATGGACACAACTAACACCTGAATGGTATTTCACTTGGCGCACAAAACGACCAAAGAGCCGACATTGCTTATTTTGGCTCTTCTCTAGATGACTTTGTGAAGCAAATAAAAATGGCAATTCGAAGATCTTGTTTACCTTACTGTATCTGTCATAACCTCTGAGCATGGCTTGGACTTTGGTCGTTACAGCTATTGAAAACTCCCAGCTTCTTCTGTGTTGGGAGCTAATATCAAAGTTATAGTCAAGGATGTCATACCAAGTGCTTGGCAAATAGTGTCCTCTATTTGTTTGTGTATATTTATTTATCTCCGACACTACAGCTTGGGTCAATAGCCTCAAGTGCAGTTTTTCTTTCTCTCCGGATTTTGTTACATCCAAATCCAAACCTATCTCCGTGCAATTGGGATAACAGATCACCTGACTGCAACGCATTGTTTTGTATTTTTTTCTCTTGTATTGTATCTTATAAGGATTATCACTTGTCATTGTGTCTTTTTCCTTCTTTGTTTGCAGTGCCAGCTTTCTTTTTTCACTAACCTCCCTCCATCCAGCATCCTGAATCCGATCTCGCCGAGTCGATTTGCAAGTTGGAAGTTGTCTCTGAGAAGACTGAAATGGAATTTCAAAGACCTCATTAAACCAGTCAGGCCCAACTTTCTTCGGGGCTAAAGAGTAGAACAAACGTGCAGGACTTGTCCCCTGCAAGTCAATGTTAAAGTTGTGTTCAAGGATATCACCAATGATGTCACCCTTTGTTCCACACAATGATCTGGCAAAACCAACCACTTCCAACATAATTTTGCGAGTCAGTACATTGGTGTCAAGTTTATCTCCTGCTTGGTCTTTGTCAACAAACAGGTTCAAACCTGTGTTCTTGCAAGCAGGAAAGTATTCCATTATCATCTCCTCTATTGCAGAGAAGGAAGAGGACTGAACCTTTTCAGGCTTTGGTGCTGTGCAGTTTGCATCCCCAGAGACAGCGTGCGCCCTGGTATGTGTAGGTGGATGATGCATGTGACTAGGGTCAGAGTCAACCTGACAAGTCTTATGACTTCTTTCTTGAAAGCATTTGGGGCAATATTTTGTAGGATTTTTTAGGCATATCAAGTTAGGCAGTTCAAAAGGCTTATTCACAGAGTACATTTTCATCCCAATTACTTGGGCATTTATGCTTGCCAATAGTTGCTCTTTATAGGCCTCGCGATACAGTTCATTTTTTAAATCAAGAGGAAAATTATACTCCAATATCTCTGTGACGAAGTGCTTTGGGTCTGATATCAGTGCTGTGGCAAACGTATTCAATTCAACCATGATGCCATTGGTCAGCGATTTTGGGTCGAGATTTAGTTTTTCTCCAGATCCTACATTGAAATCAATGCCTAATGTCCTGCATCTAGAGTAAGAATATAACGGACAATGTTCAGTATGAGGTGTTGAGAGAATTTGCTGTATACGATTTTCCCGCACTTTCCACAGCTTTAAATCTAGTTCATTTTTATGTTCAACCGCAGAACTGCCTACTTCTTGGTTTGTGATGGCAGTATGGGACGAACCAGCACTACATCCATCTGTATTAAGGTTGTTCTTTAATTTCAATTTCCACCATAGATTTTCTTTTCCTAGTTTCTTTGGTCCCTTGAAGGGTTTCACATAGCGTTTTAGATTCCTTCGCTCCACTGTAGCATGAATTCGGGTAACAATGCTTCTGGCAAGGTCAGGATCTCCACTTTGCAAATGAAAATCAAAGTTGTGTGTAAGAATGTCAAGACAAATCTGCTCAAAAGTCCCACACAACTTTTCTGCAAAGTTTGTCACTTCAGCCACTGATCCATTTGTCAGTTTGTTGATGTCCAGTTTATTTGGTTGATGATTGTTAACATTTAACTTCAGACCTATTTCCTGGCAGAAGGGATAGAGATCTACATCCTTCTGTGAAACTTGTTCTGAAGTTTTAGCTTGTGAATGAGTTGGGAACCCGGGAGCAACATCACACTCTTCCATTTTCAATATGTTGCTGAGTTGAGGTTTTACATCGCCCATACCAGGGAGAATAGGAAGTACACAAATCTCATTTGAGAATTTGATCGCATCTTTAGAATTTTCCAGCATTCTCACTCGATTCATAATTTCCAATGTGACTATGTTTCGCTGGTATTCACTCTGCAAGCCGAAATTAAAGTTGTGTTCAAGAATCTCCATGATGAAATCCTGCTTGGAAGAATTCATTGCCAAGGCAAATGTTGCAACTTCAAGCAGATGAGTGTCTCGCAAATTGTCAACCCTAATATTTTGCTTTGCACCAAATCCAACATGGAATTCAAGACCTGATTTCTTTGAGTTGTTGAATGGACCAAACTCGAATGTTGAGAGGATTTTTCTTGCACGGTTAGCACGCAACTTCCACAAGTTGTTCTCTGTTTCCATTTCTTCTTGTTTGACGTCACATTTGTTTGGTGTATTTCTTGAAGTTTGTGTTTGCGCTTCAACTCCAAAACACCCTCTTTCCATTGGTTGATTAGCAAAGGGTGGGTTAAGGTTTGAGTTCTCTGTTTCCATTTCTTCTAGTTTCATATCACCTTTTTTTGGTTCATTTCTTGAAGTTTGTGTCAGCTGATCAAATTCGCAACGCCCTCCTTCATTTGGTTGATGAGCAAAGGGTTTGTTTACGTTTGCGTTTACATTTGGTAAACTGGATGAGATGTCATCAGAGGTGAGGGAAGGCACGGGATGACCCAGACAACTTGATTCTAATTGTCCAGGAATGTCTGAGCTTAGAAAACAGTGATTCTGAATGCCTAGGTTTTCTGAATCTGTCATTTCGACTGAGTCTAGATCAGACTCTTCTAGAGGACAAGTGTAGTTTTTTGCTCTTGTTTTCTTTGTTTGCAGTGTAAGCTTTCTTTTCTTGGGAGTAGTTTCCCGTTTGCGGGCATACTGACGAAAACATAAACTTCATTGAACCAGTCTGGTGTCGCTCTGTGAAAATACATCGTAGGAAAAAAATGTCTCCCCTGCATGCCAATGTTGAAGTTGTGTTCAAGGACATCTTTAATGATGCTATATTTAGTCCCACACAGTTTTTTGGTGAAACTGGCAACTTCATTCATAATCCCATATGTCAATACAGGTCGATCCTTTTTAGATTTTGGTTGGTGTTCGTCTGCAAACAGCATAAAACCGTTTTTTTGGCAACAACGGTAGCTGTCCATTATCGTTTCCTCTCTTCCTAAGAAGGTAGAAGACCGATCCCTTACAGTCTTTTGTCCTGTGTAGTTTGCATCATCAGAGACAGCGCCCGCCGTGGTATGAGTACGAGGATGATGTATATGACTAGGGTCAAAGTCATTCTGACAAAGCTTATGACTTCTTTCTTGAAAGCATTTGGGGCAATATTTTGAAGGATTTGGTAGGCACATCAAGTCAGGCAGTTCAAAAAGAGTATTCATCAACCAACGTTTGGATCTCTTGACATTCATTGGTGTTACTTTTGTCCATAGTTGCTGTGTAAAGGCACTGCGATATAGCTCATTTTTTAAATCAAGATTCAAATTATACTCCAGTATCTCTGTGATGAAGTGCTTTTGAGCTGATAGCATTGCTGCAGCAAAGGAGTTTATTTCAACCATGATACCATTGGTCAACAATTTGGGATCAAGATTTTGTTTTATTCCAGATCCTACATTGAAATCAATGCCTAGTTTCTGACATCGAGAAAAAGAATAAAGTGGGCAATGTTCTTCATGGGGTACTGAGAGGATTTGCTTAATGTGATTAGCTCGACATTTCCACAACTTTAAATGTAGCTCATCTTGCTGTACAAAGTCAGTAGATCTGCCTACCGGTCGGACTATTTCCACAGACTGAGAAGATCCATCACTACATGCATCTAAATGTGGGTTCCTCTGGCAATCAAGTTTTACCATTGTTGTAGAGTCTTTTGTGGTGTCCTTTCCAGTTATATGAATTGCACAATTTGATAGATTCTGCTTCTCCACTATAAAAGGAATCCGTGCAAGAATATCTCCGGCCAGGTCAGAATCTCCACTTTGGAAATCAAAGCAAAAGTTGTGTCTGAGGATGTCAAGACATATCTGGGCAAATTTTCCACACAACTTTTCTGCAAAGTTTGTCACCTCAGTCATTGATCCATTGGTGAGTTTGTCAATATCCAGTTTTTTATTTTGCTGTGGATTGTACACATTTAGTTTCAGACCTATTTCCTGGCAGAAGGGATAAAGTTCTAAACTTTTCTGTGAAATATGTTCTGAAGTGTTAGCTTGAGAATGAGGTGGGAGCAGCGGAGAAAACTTGCACTCTTCTATTTTCATTATGTTGCTGAGTTTAGGTTTTACATTGCCCATACCAGGATGACCAGGAAGCTCAAAAACCTCATTTGAGAATTTAATTGCATCTTCACAATTTTCCAGCTCTCTCACTCGATTCATAATTTCTAATGTGAATATATTTTGCTGGTATTCACTTTGCAGGCCGAAGTCAAAGTTGTGCTCAAGAATCTCCATGATGAAATCCTGCTTGGATGAATTCATTGCTATGGCAAATTTAGCAACTTCAAGCAGATGATTGTCACGCAAGTTGTCAACACTGATGTTCTTCTTTGCACTGAATCCAACATTGAATTCAAGGCCAAATTTAATTGAGTAGTAGAATGGACCAAACTCGAATGTCGAGAGGATCTTTCTTGCACGGTTAGCACGCAACTTCCACATGTCGTGCTCTGTTTCCATTTCCTCTCGTTTCATGTCACCTATGTTTAGTGTATTTTTGGAAGTTTGTGTTTGCGCGTTAACTTCACAACATCCTCCCTCATTCGTTTTATTTGCATTTGAGTTTACAGTTGGTAAACTGGATGAAATGTTATCTGTGGTGTGGAGAGGTGCAAGAATAACAAATTGTTCTGGAATGTCTAAGCTTAGAGAATTATTTGGATTGTTCAAGTTATCCTGAATGCCACAGTTCCCTGAATCTGTGAATTTGTCTGAGTCAGACTCTACTAGAGGACAAGTGTAGTCGTCTGCTCTTTCTTTCTCTGTTTGCAGTGGAAACGTTCTTTTTTTGACAGTAGTTTCCCGTTTGCTGGCATTCTGATGAATAACATAAACTTTATTGAACCAGTCTGGCGTCAGTATTTGATTTGGAATCCTAGGAGTAAAATGTCTCCCCTGCATGCCCATGTTGAAGTTGTGTTCAAGGACATCTTTGATGATGCAATTTTTAGTCCCACACAGTTTTTTGGTGAATCTGACTACTTCATGAATAATCTCGTTTGTCAATACATTTGTGTCAAATGTATTTGTTGGTTTGTCTTTGTCCACAAACAGGATAAAACCAATTTCCTTGCAAGAAGGGTATTTGGCCATTATCGTTTCCTCTCTTCCTGAGAGGGTAGTGGACTGATCCCTTGCAGTCCTTTGTTCGGTGCAGTTTGCATCACCAGAGATTATGTCCTCCATTGTTAGTGGATGAAGATGATGCATGTGACTACGGTCAGAGTCATCCTGAAAAAGCTTATGACTTCTTTCTTGGAGGCATTTGGGGCAATATTTTGTAGGATTTTCTAAGCACATCATGTCAGGCAGTTCAAAAAGCTTTTTTTTCCGATAATCGCTAGAATCCATCTTCTTCAAATGTGATACGTTAATTTTTCTCCATACTTCATGGGTGAAGGCACTGCGATGCAGCTCATTCCTTAAATCAAGATCACAATTATACTCCAGTATCTCTGTGATGAAGTGCTTTTGTGCTGATATTAGTGTTGCAGCAAATGTGTTTAATTCAACCATGATGCCATTGGTCAACAATTCTAGATCAAGATTTTTTTTGAATCCAGATCCTACATTGAAATCAATTCCTAACTTCTTGCATCTAGAGAAAGAATAAAGTGGGCAATGTTCTTCATGAGGTACTGAGAGGACTTGCTCAATCTGATTAGACCGACATTTCCACAGCTTTAAATTCAGCTCATCTTGCTGTCCGAAATCAGTAGATCTGCCTACCTGTTGGTCTATCTTCACAGTCTGAAGAGAATCCGCTTTACATGCATCTACCTTTTGGTTGCTCTGGCAATCCAGTTTGACCATCATTGACGAGTCTTTTCTTGTGCCCGTTCCAAGGATTACACAATTTGATAGATTCTGCTTCTCCACTAGAAAAGGAATCCGTGCAAGAATATTTCTGCCAAGGTCAGGATCTTCACTTTGAAAATCAAAGGAAAAGTTGTGTCTGAGGATGTCAAGACATGTCTGCTCAAATGTTCCGCACAACTTTTCTGCAAAATTTGTCACTTCAGTAATGGATCCATTGGAGAGTTTTTTGATGTCCAGTTTTTTTGGTAGATGATTGTTAACATTTAGCTTCAGACCTATTTCCTGGCAGAAAGGATAAAGATCCAAACTTTTCTGTGAAATATGTTCTGAAGTGTTAGCTTGAGAATGAGGTGGGAGCAGTGGAGAAAACTTGCACTCTATTTTCGTTATGTTGCTGAGTTGAGGTTTTACATTGCCCATACCAGGACGACCAGGAAGCTCAAAAACCTCATTTGAGAATTTAATTGCATCTTCACAATTTTCCAGCTCTCTCACTCGATTCATAATTTCCAATGTGAATACATTTTGCTGGTATTCACTTTGTAAGCCGAAGTCAAAGTTGTGCTCAAGAATCTCCATGATGAAATCCTGCTTGGATGAATTCATTGCTATGGCAAATTTAGCAACTTCGAGCAGATGAGTGTCACGCAAGTTGTCAATACTGATGTTCTTCTTAGCACTAAATCCAACATTGAATTCAAGGCATTTCATTGAGTTGTGGAATGGACCAAACTCGAATGTTGAGAGGATTTTTCTTGCACGGTTAGCACGCAACTTCCACATGTTGTTCTCCGTTTCCATTTCCTCTTGTTTCATGTCACCATTGTTGAGTATATTTCTTGATGTTTGTATTTGCTCTTCAACTTCACAATGCCATCCTTCAATTGGTTGATTTGCAAATGGTGGGTTTGCATTTGAGTTCTCTGTTTCCATTTCTTCTTGTTTCAAGTCACCTATGTTTAGTGTATTTTTGGAAGTTTGTGTCTGCGCGTTAACTTCACAACATCCTCCCTCATTCGTTTGATTTGCATTTGAGTTTACGGTTGGTAAACTGGATGAAATGTCATCTGTGGTGTGGAGAGGTGCTTCTTGTTCCATGTCTGACTTGTTTGGAACATTTATTGGAGTCTGACATTTCTCCTCAACTCCACAATGCCCTCCTTCATTATGTTGACCCGCAAGTGGTGGAATCAAATTTAAGTTATCAGTTGGTAAAGTGGATACAATGTAATTGGTGTTGAGGAAAGGCACATGAAGACAGTTTGATTCTGGTTTTCTAGGAATGTCGTAGCCCAGAGAACTTTTGGGGTTTTGTGACTGATTCTGTTTGCAAAAGTTTCCTGAATCTGTGGCTTTGCCCAAGATTAGTTGAGATGATCCCAGGGGATAAGAACAGTTTCCCTCTGTTTCCATTACTTCTTGTTCCATGTCACATTTTTTGCCAGAATCAGACTTTCCTACAGGACAAGTGTGACAATGATCTCTCTCTGCTGTTCTAGTGCTATACAAATGAGTGTGATAAGAGAGTGTGTTTGTTTCCATGTCTCTTTTGCGCCTTTTGATTGCCTGTTTACTTTTTAAATCAGACTGCCTTCTTTTTGTCACTTCCTTAAACTGATATTGCGGAGCTTCCATATCAGACAGAGCTGTTTCTCTGTGTCTTTTGAAGGGATTTGTCTGGAATGAAAACAGCTCAGTTTTAAACTCTGGGCTTATTTTGGTACCAATGTTGAGAAATCTCGTTCTTTTCTTCAGCAAGTGCGATATCTTGAACAAAGCTCGACTTTTTTCTTGTTGGCTTTTTAGATCAAGTTCAAAATTGTGCTCCAAAACATCCAGAACAATAGGGCTGTAGGATGCAGTGAGAATTCTGGTGAAGTGAATTAACTCTAACATTATGCCCTTTGTCAACAAACCTGGCTCTAGACTTTGTTTTGACCCAAAATCAAGGTTCAGACCAATTTTCTCACAAAAGGGAAACAACTTGGAAAAATCATCATCTTTTTGTTTCTCTGCTGACTGTGCTTCTGAAAACTTGAATTCATCTTCATAGTCACTGTCATCACTTTGTGCCCTATCCATCTCTTCCAAGAGACTTTCTGCCTTAATGCAATCTTTGGATGTTGCGTGTGAACACTGTAATTCCTCTTCATGTTCCCAATCATCAGTGTTATCCATCTCCACCAGGATACTTTCAGTCTTATGCTTTGTGGATGCCATGTTCGGTTCATTGCTGCTCGAGCATTCTGGATTACATGGTGTGTCAAAGAGAGTGAAAACTTCATGTTTATCTTTAGGAGGTTTCCTAATCAAGTTTTTAACTTTGTGCATAATTCGAGATGTAAAATCAATCCGCTGTTGATCATTTTCCAAATCAAGATCGAAATTGTTCTCTAAAATGTTTGTGAAAAAATGCCTTTTACTCTTGTTTACTGTTTTAGCAAAGTCACAGACCTCAAGTATGACCCCATTTGTCACTAAACCTATATCCAGTTTTTGATGGTTGTTGGATGCTACATTAAAATCCAATCCAATCCTATTGCTGCAATGGAAAGGTTCTGGATGTCTTGAATATTTGTCTACACACATAATGCGCCACTGCCATACTTTGTTGGTATCCATCTTTGTGTTTGTTCTTCATACAGCAGTTGTCCTTGTTTTCCATCTGCAGTGAATTCACCTACTGTTCTTCTTTGCCTTGTATGCTTTCTTTTCCTGTATTTAGTTAGAAAAAAGAATGAAATTATATACAAATGAATCACACTATTTTTTAACCAATGTATTAATTATATAATATTTATCAGACTAAAATACCAGATATCTGACACTTAGACCCTTAGTTTCTCAAAGTACTCTGGTTACTTGTGATAGCCATTAGGCAATATCTTTGACATAATGACCATTTATTTTATTTTCTTTCTTTAGATAAAAGTGATTTGCCAAGCAGCATGTTTAGTGGCTAATGTATTTTGATTCATCTTATAACTGTGCAGCTCATTTAAAATTTGAATATTTTGGACATATTTTAATTTTATGTCATATTTTCATTTCATTTATTCTACTACCATACATTTTTTTACTATGAGGGGCATTTTCTTGTACACTAAATTAATACCAACTTTTCAAAAAACACAATTCTACTTGCAGCAAATTTATATAGATTTCATCTTGCTACATACCTTGCAAGACATTCATCTTGAATAAAAGCTCTTCCAAGTTTTATAGCCCACTCTGAATGTCTGCTTCCTATGTGGTCATCCTCCAGACAGCAATGAGACTCTTCTGGTACAGTGCTACCATGGATGAAAAGAACATTTAAAAACATGTTTAAGAGTGGTGACGGAAGTATTCATAATTATTTCTTTTGTAAAAGTTGTACAATTACAATGTAGAAACACTCTGTTACAAGTTGGAACCCTGAATTCAAAATGTAAAGAACTAAAGTATAGGCAACAACATATACTCAAAAGTACTTCAAGTTACAATACATGAAAATCAAAACATTATAATACTGGATAAAAATAATTGATTCATTAGCATGAATCCATCAGCGATTGGTCTACTAATGTGGGGTACCTCAAGGCTCCATCTTGGGGCCTCTTCTCTTTAACATCTACATGCTACCACTGGCTCAGATAATGAAAAACAACAAAATAAGTTACCATAGCTATGCAGATGACACACAAATGTACGTAACAATTTCACCAGGAGACTATACTCCAATTCAAACACTGAGTAAGTGCATTGAACAAATCAATGACTGGATGTGTCAGAACTTTCTCCAATTAAACAAAGATAAAACTGAGGTAATGGTTTTTGGAGACAAGTCAGAATGTATAAAAGTTAGCGCTGAGCTTCAGTGTGCAATGTTCAAAACAACAGATAAAGCCAGAAATCTAGGTGTAGTCATGGACTCTGACCTGAGTTTCAACAGTCACATTAAAACAGTTACTAAATCAGCCTACTATCACCTAAAGAATATATCTAGGATTAAAAGACTAATGTCACAGCAGGATTTGGAAAAACTTGTCCATGCTTTTATCTTCAGTAGACTCGACTACTGTAATGGTGTCTTCACAGGTCTCACTAAAAAATCTATTAGGAAGCTGCAGCTAATTCAGAACGCTGCTGCTCGAGTCCTCACTAACACTAAGAAAGTGGATCACATCACTCCTGTTCTGAAGTCTTTACACTGGCTTCCTGTGTGTCAAAGAATAGATTTCAAAATACTGCTGCTGGTTTATAAAGCACTGAATGGTTTAGGCCCAAAATACATTTCTGACCTCCTGCTAAATTATGAACCATCCAGATCTCTCAGGTCTTCAGGGACTGGTCAGTTTTCTGTCCCCAGAGTCAGAACTAAACATGGTAAAGCAGCGTTTAGTTATTATGCTCCAAATATCTGGAACAAACTCCCAGAAACCTGCAGGTCCGCTGCAACTCTGACTACTTTTAAATCCAGGCTGAATACTTTTCTTTTTGTCGCTGCTTTTAACTATTCATATCTTAAACTGCACTGTAACTTTTATCCATGTATTTTTTCTTTTAATGTTTATTTTATTAGCTTTTCTTTTTAATGTTAAATGCCATTTTCTTAATGTCTTTCATTTTTTGTAAAGCACTTTGAATAGCCTTGTGTTGAAAAGTGCTATATAAATAAACTTGCCTTGCCTTGCCTAATGTTAGAAGGAACAAGAAAATCGTGCATGCATGCAGAGGGGGAAGAAGTACTCAGATCTTCCTAAGTAAAAGTAGAAATACCAAAGTGTAAGAATACTTCTACAAGTAAAAGTCCTGTATTGCAAAATGTTACTCAAGTAAAAGAACAACACATTTTGGCATCTAAATATACTTTGTCTTTATTAGGATCCCCATTAGCACTAGCATGTGCATTGGCTATTCTTCCTGGGGTCCTCACACACACAAAACATACAACAAAATTCAAACAAAACAGCTCATAATTTCATGCAATTTACAATGCTGTATGAAGTGAAAACTAAAATGTTCATCCAATTATCGCCATCCTAAGGCCAAACAAAAGTAAATACAAATAAGTGTACATAATAATATATGCATACATAGCCACAGGCACAGTTCAAATGTACTTTATAATACTTAAATATTTTTGTAACAACCTTTTCAAATGTACTTTTTTTTTTGTACTGTAATTTTCCTGAATGATGTGAACCGGTAAAGAGTTCCAGCTGATCATGGCTCTGTACATGACTGTTTTCTATCCCATATTTTATTTAGATTTGGGTAATACAAACCTTCCTTCTATTGTATGTCGTGTTTGATAGTTATGTTATATAACACTATAAACCTTTGTGATAATATATCTGGTGAGTGAGTCACTGTAATATTTCTGACAAAATTTAACAAAATATAAGTTGACCTCTGTCTGACAGTTAACCATTTCAGTGTCTCCAGCATTTCAGTGACTCTGGTTCTGCAGGAACACTGCAGTGCACATCGTGCTGCCTTATTTTGTGCTACTTGTAGTTTGTTTAAATCTTTTTCAGTAGCACTAGACCAGGGGTGGCCAACCAGTCAGAGGTTAAGAGCCACATGTTTTCTATATTACTGCAAAGAGCCACATCAAACACACAGTCACTGATACCGCTTGTTTCAGTTTATTGTTTTCTGGAGACAAGATTTCAACCACGTCACTGATGCATTTTTGTGGCATTGGGATATATATTTTTTAAATCCTCTGGAGCAGAGAGAGGAGCTTATTGTTATTGATGAATGCATCAGTGTTTCTTAGGGTCAAAAACACTAAACTCACAACTTAAAATGAAAGTGTTTAGTTTATTTAATTAAAGAGCACATGTTCAATGTGAAACGTGACAGTAGATATAGATTATTTGCAATTTGGTGCTATATATATATATTTAAAAAAAAGAAAATTATATATTTTTTTTAAACACCTTGAATTTCAGGGGGGGGCGCGGGGCTCCGTTGGCGGGGCACAGCGCCCCTTCAAGACAATGGTAGGGGAAACACTGGATAGTGTTTAATCAACGATAGGTTTCCCCCCCTCATAGATGATTGGTTCACTGCATCGCAGGTATTATTGTGATTGGCTCTTGGGCCACATCAAAATTAGACGCGCTGTCATCCTCTCATACTGACACCACACATACACACGTAGGGAGAGCCGGGACGAAAGTAACACGGGACGAAAGTAACATGGGACAAAAGTAACGCAGCGATTTTATCCGAGCCCAAACAACTTTGACCGGCCAAATTACGTCAGAATTATCAGCATTCAGTACTTAACAGACCTACTAAATATCAGGTTTAACTGTCAGGAGTAGCTAGTGTTGTCACGATACCAACATTTTGGTTTCGATACCAAGTCAAGAATTGCGATTCCGATTATTTTTCGATACTTTTCTTAAAAAAGGGAAACAGTCTTAAATGTAATTATTGTGCTTTATTTCACACCAGAACCATAACACAAACTTTTAAACAATGAGAACAATAAATAAAATAAATGACAATTAATACATGTCTGACAGACAGGCCTCGTGGTGTCCGTAGGCTTGCCCTCACTGTCAGAAATATAGCTAAAATACTTCCAAATTTAGCTTCTGGCGTCTTTTTTGTCAACAAGCCGAGGCGCAGCGGCAGTTGCACTCCCACTTGCAGCCATGCTTCTCGTTTTCTCACATGCTCTGGCAGCTAGCGCGTGCACGAGAGAGGGGATGGACTTAGCGCGTGCACGAGAGGGGAGGGACTGCAGGCACGGCTGCAGTGCAGGGAGTGGAAGCAGAGCGCTGAATACACACGGCTCTTATTAAAACAGCGCTTTCTCACCGGAGTACTTTTCCCCGTCATTCTTAAAGTACCGATATTAATGAAACGGAGGAATCGTAACGTTTTTAACGGCAGAGTATCGCGGTACCTTTCAAGTATCGGTACACCGTGCGGAGTCAGTGTCTCTTCCCCAAACACATACAATTCGATATGAACTGAAGAGCCGCATGAAACTAGGCAAAGAGCCGCATGCGGCTCGAGAGCCGCGGGTTGGCCACCCCTGCCCTACTGGAATTGATATTTCCTGAGAACATACATGGCTAAAATTAGTAAATATATGATCAATACAAGTTGCACTTTTTGACCCATCTTTCTTTATGCATATCCTAGTAGGTTTAGTCACCATTTGTACCAAGTTACATGTATTAATTATTGTCTGCAGCTTGTTTTTAAGGGCACAGTGCAACATATTCCAGTTAATATTTAAATCTCTGTCAAGATCACAAACTTTATCTAACATTTCACATAATTTGTCTAAATAAATTAAGTTTGCATTTGGAGGTCTGTAACAACATCCTACCAACAAAGGTTTCAAGTGAGGTAATTAATTTGCAACCAAAGTACATCAAATCATATCTCACTTTAGGTGGCATTTGCTTTTGAATGTATACTGCCACCCCACCTCCATATGCATTCCTGTCCTTTCTAAATATTCTATATCCATCAATGTCCACAGCAGCGTCATTAAATATGTCATCAAAGTAGGGTTGGGTACCGAGAACCGGTTCCGGTTCGGAACCGGTTCCAACATTTCGATTCCAACGGCATCATTTAGAAATGTGAATTTCGGTTCGGCTTTTCGATGCCTGAGGAAATGTTTCTCGCCGCTCTCCGTAGCCTACTGTATGACTGCGGCGGGGTGGGAAATATAGCGTTGTACCTACACTTCCTACAGCGTAACCTGGGACCAGGGCCGGCCTGTCGCACTGGCGTTATAGATGTTCGCCTAGGGCGCCAGATCTGTGGAGGCGCTGCGCTGACAGCTCTGTCACTGTAAGTGATGAAAATGGGGGATGTTGGCTTATCTGGCACCCGCAGCTCACAGTCAAAGTGCGAGTGAGCGTGGGAGCGAGCGAGGGAGGGTGCACCGGTACCAGCGCTGTTGTTATTAGCATCTAGTGCTAGCTGCTCTAACGGATATTAGAAGAAGATGTTTCTACAATAATGTGGAGGGAGAGTTCTCTCCAGTCAGACTGAGAGGCTGATAACTACAGCTCAGTGAGGTAAAGGACTCTTGAGTGTTTAGATCAGGGGTGCCCACACTTTTTTGGCTGGTGAGCTACTTTTGAAATGACCAGCTCACCGAGATCTACCAACCAAAAATAAAATCCCAAATTGCAAGGGTTGCTGAATAACACGTTTTATTTATACATGGGATAACTACAATAAGGCTGCAACAAACGACTAATTTGATAATCGATTAATCTATCGATTAATGAAACGATTAATCGACTATTCGGACTATTACGCC